TCGGCAAGAGCGAGGAGCAAGGCTCCTAATATGGGATTGAGCGCAACAACCACCCGTGGAAGATGGAGTTTCGAGAGCGAGGAGGAGGGTGGAAAGGTGGAGGAAGAGGAACGGAGGAAAGGAAACAGCTAGTACTGTAAATTATTATTGCCGCTAGTTTCTTGCCCGTCCCAGCCGGTGTTACACTCTCTCTGTTCTCTTTTGTTCTCCTTCTCTCCCTTCGATCTCCCTCCACTTTGTTCCACTCTAGTTTCTCCACTTCTCTATTTCTCTTCCCTCTCCTTCCAATTTTTCTTCCTCTCGTCCCTCTCCTCCCTTTTTTCCCCTCCGACAGAGACTGTATTCTACGTTTCTCTACGTTTCTCTCGCTCTAAGTTTCCTAAGTTCTATATAAGTTGTTGGAGAGGAAGGGAAGAAGAGGAGGCGGAATTTCGCTCGGCGGAACATCGTCCCTCCCCCTTGGACGAGCAAAAAGCGCATCATCTCGGCCGCGCGTCATTTCTCCTCTCCAGGTGGAAAACGATTTCCACGCTGGTTGGCGTAACCCTACCGCCAACCCTGGATGATCGCATTTCATGGCGAAACTGTCTAGGCATAGAAGCAAGTCCTCTCGCCTCCTCCTCGCCAGAATGGCTGACCGTGCGATTCTCCGTTTTCTTGCGATCCCTTCGGGAATATTCGCTTCCTTCGCCTCCCCGTCCAAGTCTCCGTGGACTATTGTTTTCTGTATTGTAGAGGAAGATCGAGGAAAGGACAAGAAGAGGTTTTTGCAAGAGGATGATGATCGAGAGAGAGAGAGAGAGAGCGTATCGAAAACGAGGGATTTTTTTTCGTGTTCACGACAACTTACGACACCTTGGAGATCGGTATCTTTATCGAGAGGATTTCGAACGAGACAAGCGTTGATGTTCGGAAATTTGGGGATATTGATCGAGCGTAGGTGTCTTCGAAATAATATATGAACAGTTTGTCGAATAATATGAAATTGATAAGTTTCTTTTTTAAAAAAAGAAGAAGAAGAATCGCAAAAGGAATATCTATTCAAAAAATTTTTCATTCTTATTAATTCTTCTTATCTCATCGAGGAATTGATAACTTTAAGCGATTTATCTATCTATATATCTTCCTACAACATTTTCGTTTCGAGTTTAATCCTCAGATTAAGAAATGCAAAAATCTGCAAAATATCTCCATCCTGAAATCTGACCCAGATCTCGAACCGCCAACCGTTCGTTTCGATTCAATCCCCATTGAATTTTTGTCCCCATTGTCTCGAAAACTTCCTCGAACGGCGAAAAAACAATTCTTATCCGCGAATACCTATCCACCGAGCTCTCACCGAGTCCGAATTGCGCAATATACCCCCGCGGAAATTCCTCGAGAATTCCGCTCATTAGGTGGTCGAGATCGCGCGTGTCGATCGGGATTGTTCATCGATGATTCATCTCGATGCTTGGTGCACGGCACCTGCGACACAGGATCGTCGTTTCTCTCCTCTCCTCTCCTCCCGCCGGGGTCGTGACACGGCTGCCTATTTTCAACGTTACGCAATCCCAGTGAATCCTCTTCCTGACTTTCGGCCAAATGTCGTGCGAAACGAGACGGGACAAAGCTTCTTCGTTTTTCAAGCGTTGTATCCTCGTACGCGCGCGCGTTGCGTCACCTCTTTATCCATTATTAGCTATGTATATACGTGCACCTACGAGGACGACGACGACGGT